GGCCAGTGAAGCAACGTCCTCCACAACTAGACTGAAGAACAAAACAACAGCAACTTGTCTGTTCCCCTTCCCCCAATTCCCCAGGGCTGTTCCCCTCCCCCAATTCCCCAATAAAATCTTCAAAAAAATATTTTTTAAATGTATTTTTAAAAAGCAAAGAAAGGTCCAAACGCGATGTTATCTTGGGAGAGGGAAGCTGAGGAGGACCACAAAAACAGATATAAGTTATTATCATGATTTAAAACAAATAAAAAGAACCAACATGTGAACCAATGATAAGAGCGCATCATAAACAAAGGGCTCACAGACCCAATTCTGTGCTGTTCAATCCAAAACAATTAATACATAAAAGATGTAAAACTTAAAGCATAAGTCACTAAATATAAGTCAGATTTTAAAGAGAATCACTAGAACTTCCAGATATAATAGTCACTGCAAATAAAAATCGAAAGACCAGTTAGGTGGCAGATTAGGTGAAAAAGAGATCAGGAGTGACAGGGCATCCTGAATAAGGAAACTGTCCAAAGGAGAGCACTGAGTGATAGAGAGACAGGTAATACAGTAAACTTGGCAAATACATGTTCAAGTTTCCTTCTACAAACAAAAGCATACCTTAACTAGCTACATATTCATTTGTTCAAAGTAGATTTCTGGGAAATAAATTATTTTGCCATTACAAAATGAAAATGAAGAGTCTACATATGAGAAAAAGCAAATTCTCCAACCACTAGTAGAAACATTTGGCAAAAAAGAAAAAGGTGCTGAAGTTTATGGCCGCGTGCCCAGGGCATGTGTGATAGGACAGGGATTTCCTCTGGGGCACTGGTGGGGTTTGAGGGCATCTGACAGACTTCTCAAAGCTTCTCTAACCTCCCACAGGTATTCATGTTTCCCCAGGATGAGTTTCATTTGCATAACAATTGCCGGCTCATTGCCACTGCTAACATAATTACAATGCCAAATACTTCCCCTGAAAATTCACTGCAAGCCCTCTGACTCACAGTAAGAAACATTAGTGATCTGCCCAATTCAGTTTTTAAAACATTATAAATGCTTAGGAAAGGGAAACCTAGAGCTGCAGTTTTCCTTCAGAAAACACTTTGTTCTTTTTACTCGTTTTAATACAATTTTGTAGATACTTTTTTAGAACAAGAAAGGTTTCACAACAGCCTTTCACAGTACTTGAAAATTAAATACTCAATTGTTAGTACATCAACTTTACACCTAATAAAGCTACCTCCAGACTGCTACTTATATTGTAAAAATACGTTGCTTCCTTAAAGTTTTTCCCATAGCATGCACCTGACAATGACTTCATTCACTGTTCAATTTCAATCCAGCCATATATCAAGGCAAAATGTACCTCATCCAGTATTACCTCTTCGTGGTGTTTCTTCCCCATTTGGAAGTCCACTGGCAGTAGTATCCTGGCCTGCTCCCAGTCTCTGATCTTGCTGCTGCTGCAACTGTCTTATCATCCCATCCAGAACACTGGACTCGGGGCTGCGTTCACCATTATCATTAGTTTGTAGGCTTATAATTTGTTCAATTACCTCTCCATCACCTGCAAATTCAATGAATGAATATAAAACATAATCTATATGAAGAGGAAAAAAAACTTTCAGTAGACTACAATTAAAATTACATTAACAATTGTCAGAATTCCTGTTTTTAAAAACTAATCAATTAAAAAACTCTGGGGCCGACTGAGTGGCGTGTTGGTTAGAGTTGGTTTGGGACGCCAGCTCTGAGCAACAGGGCTGCTGGTTCAGTTCCCACATGAGGGCCAGTGACGCTGCACCCTCTACAGCTACGATGGTGAACAACAGCTCAACCTGGAGCTGGGCTGCCATGAGTCACCGGCCACGGCGTAGGCTGCAGCCCCTGTGGCAGTGGGTTGCCATGGGCTACCGTATGTCGCCAACAGCCAGCAGCCAGTATGAGCGGCCAGCAGCCGCAGTGAGCGGCTGTCCAGAAGCCGGCGACTAATCTGCCTGGACCGGGAAGAGAGCAATGATGGTGCCAACTTGGGCCAGTGAAGCAACGTCCTCCACAACTAGACTGAAGAACAAACGACAGCAACTTGTCTGTTCCCCTTCCCCCAATTCCCCAGCACTGTTCCCATCCCCCAATTCCCCAATAAAAATCTTTAAAAAAAAACAAAAACTCAGCTTTAAGAGGCTCTCATAGTCAAATCTAAAGATAATATGAGCAATAAAATAGTAACAGTAATGGATTATAACCTACTATGTAATGACCAATAAGTCCATACTAAAACTTAATGAACTACACAAATAAAAGTGCAAGTTAGTACAAGGCAACTAATAAAATCCAGGTTCAAATGATGACAGAGTTAGAAAACAACCATTTTGCAACTTTCATCCTAACAACTGATTCAGGCAAAAATGATCAGTGGATCCTAAAACGTGTGCGAGAAGTTTGATAAGGTTATTTACATCGTATCTCCCTACAAATTACCGTATTTGCCGGCGTATAAGACGATTTTTTGGCCCTGAAAAATATGCCTCCAAGTGGGGGGTCGTCTTATACGCCAGGTACACTTCAGATAGACTGCCCATAGTGCTTGCCCCGTGCCATAGTGGCCTCCTGATGCCCGCCCACTTCATTCCACATACCGTTCAGGCATCAGCAGCGCTGCTGGGTGTATGCTCGGCTGTTATGCGATTTTGCTGTTATGCGATTTTACCACACTCGCAAAATCGCACACAGCCGACCATACACCCAGTATGATAGCGCAAAATCGCGAATCGCGATTTATGTATATGTTTGATTACATACAGCCTTGTGACAGTTTTCCTGCATGTCATAAGCATTTGAATATAAATATAAATATTGAAATCAAATCTGATATTGTTTTACCTTTTATTGGTGTGTGGAAGGTGCGCGGAAGAGGGGGTAGTCTTATACGGCGAGTATATAACAAACTCTGTATTTTGAGTGGAAATGTTAGGGGGTCGTCTTATACGCCCAGTCGTCTTATACGCCAGCAAATACGGTACTCATTAATTACAAAGAGCAAAATGACTCTACAGTGGAGAAACCTGGCGGACACCGCCTTTGAACAGAGTGCTCCGAGACAACACGACCAGTAATTGGACAGAACACACTGTTAAGCATCCTGGCGGTGCTCAGGGGAAGCTACGACATCAATCATGCTGTATTCTGTCCAAAATGCATAACCAGAACTGAATGGATGACAGCTAGATTGAATGTGCAGTCCCCAACTGAAATCTAATCAGGAAGAACAAAAAAAAGCTACAACAGGCATTATTAGAGTAACAGACAAAATTTGATGTATTGATTTGATCAGTGTTATGTGTTCAAGTCCTAATTTTAATCATTGTTTATGACTATTTAAGAGAATACGCTCTTAGAAAATACATATTCAAGGGTAAATGAACATGAGCTCCAGAACCTGAGCCTCCAATGGTTCCAAACAATATGTATCTAGGGATAAATGATAAAACAAATATTGCAAAATATTAATGACTGGTAAATTGGAAAGTACAGAGGTTCTTTATATTGTTCTTAACGTTTTTCAAATAAAAAGGTTTTGTTTCATTTTTTTTTAAAAAGGGTTTTGCACATACTTGTTGCCACATAGCCTAGCTGTGGAACCAAATGCTCGTCGGCAGAATTTTCTCGGCCTGGTACCAATCTCTGATACTTGGTGGGATGAGGATTTCCATCTACATCTACCAAGAATGGTGGAGGCATGAGGTGAGGCGCCTGCTGAGTTTGCTCATCTAAGACATAATTGTTAGAATCTCTAATCAGTGGTCGATAGTCAGTGTGGAAGAACATCTGATCAGGGATCTAGAAAAGGGAAGTTGACAGATTGATATTTTGAGGCTTTATGTTAAAGAAAACAAAAATTAAGTAGTTAATTGTAATTAAAAATAACAAGGAAATCAAATTAACAATCACATCTAATCCGTTTTCAAAATATCCTTCATAACTTCTTATTTTACACGCAGAAATAAAGTATTGAAAATGACCTTTTCATATGGCTTGCTGCATCCAAAACCAAATATCAGAAGGTGCCCGTGAGAATCTGTACAGGCAAAATGCTGTCCATCCTGTGAAAATTTACAGTCAAATACAGCTCCATGTCCTTGTCCTTCAATCTGGGAAACAGAGGAATAAAGTTATGACCAAGCCTATACAAGTGCTTTTGTTATATCAACTGTTTGTGTCGATAGACTGATATATCATTTCTGAAAAAAATATTTAGAAACAAATTTTGCATTAAGTATGTCAATTTGTATTTTCTGAAAATTTAATTTTAGATACCACTAGCCTAGAAGAAATCTTAAAAGATCCCTAAGAATTAGTTCTCAAAACGATCAAATGAAAGATCATAAACAAATCCAAATGAAGGCTTTCTTTATTTCTGACAAGTGAGTAACAAGCACTTCTCATGAACTTGTGTTTTGATATATAACAAAATGCTACTGACTAATCTCCTACAAGATAAATGATTAAAGATTAACAAAATCAATACTTTCCTGGAGTTTAAACTTTCTACTAAGATGGCTGACTGCCACGCAAAATCTGAAATGCTGCTAACTCTCAGGTGCACATGCCAACACCTGCGCCTGAAACCACCTTATTTCAAAATGCCAAAGTTCAGGAGGACACCCTCTAAGTGCACCATGAACAAACCCTGCCTTGATTAGATTCTTTTTACACTGTTTCGTTCTTGCTTTTTAACTGTAAATTGTATAGCTTTATTGAATTATAATTTATAGTTGAATGAATTGATTCATTATCTCAACAGTATAGAGCTAAGCATATTTGTTGTCTGAGCTCCTAACTTTCCAATAACTAAACTTCAGGCCAAGTTTGATGAGTGCTTGAAAAATGAATCATCCACCCCACTCACTGCCAAAACAAACTCACACATGTGCCCAAATACCTGCCTGAAAAGCAACCCTTCACTACTGCTATACTTCATGTAAATGGATGCCAATTAACAAACTTGAAAAAAAATAAGTTGCTGATATATTTACGGCACTGCTGAATTAGATAATACATGTATAAATTTACTCATAATGTAAAGAGAAAAAAATGTATATTTTTCCAAATCCTTATAAAAACATAAGAACCTGAGTTCACCCACATGGTCCTTAGAGGAGCCACTCCACCACAGCCTGACCCGCATCCTGGTGCCACTTCACACCCCTGGCTTGGGACCACGACTGCAAGTAAAGCAGAGGCAGGAGGCAGTGGGAGCAAGAGCCCTAGGCTGGCAAGGTGAAGGTGGTGGCAGTTCCTTTCCTGTCATACATGGAACTGCTCCAAAAGCTTTGCTAAGGGTACCTGCTGAAAAGGGAGTTTCCCCATCTAAGAAGAGCAAGCCAGACCTGGGTTTTTTTACCTGTAGCATTAACAGTCCCACACACTGATTCCTGACAAAATGCAATGTGCAGCTATGCCTGGAGAATAACTCAATGTCACATTCAAGTTGTCATGTATGTAAATGATACTCTTCTGTGAGTAACTTACAAGCCTAGGCAATGTGTCTTGCATTAGAGATTTAGGAGCCTCACAGTGAAGAACTCTGTCTACAAGGCCAACTTGGGGTATTTGGAATTAAGATCACCGTTACCAACTTGAGACTTTTGTCACATTATTCTTCAGCTTAGAGGATGTTTATCTTGTTTTTTTTTAAGATTTTTATTGAGGAATTGGAACAGTGCTGGGGAGTTGGGGGAAGGGGAACAGACAAGTTGCTGTCCTTTTGTTCTTCAGTCTAGTTGTGGAGGACGTTGCTTCACTGGCCT